GGGGGGGCCCCGGCCCCTTGGGGCCGCCATGTTGGGAGTGGCAGGAAGGGGCAGGGCTGGGGTGGGGGGGAGGTGCAGACCCCAAACCGAGGGGCCTACAACAAGCCAATCTTCAAACCAAGGGGCTTGGGGGGGGGCTCAGACCCCAAAGAGAGGGGGTGTGAGAGGGCTCAGAGGCATCTGATAGAGTTTAAACCCCAAGTGAAAGGGCCCAGAAGGGCTTAGAGGGGGTCAGACCCCCAAAATGCAGCACCCTGGAGCTGCTCGGGGCGTCCTGGTGGGAGCCAAAGCCCATCCCCAGTGGCCAAAGGCAGATCCCAGCCCAAGCCCTGGGCTCAGACCCAACTCAGCGCCCCCCAAGGCTTGCCTTCCCTCCTTCTTCCAAATAAAACTGCCCACAAGCCAAAGCGCTTCGTTTTTCCTAATAGTTTAATTAGACTTTAATGATTTATTGCTCATCTGCAAGGATTAATATTGCATTCATTAAAAATCATTCATATACAAAATAAACCTCTCCCTCCCGGCCCGACATTGCCACCGCCATCCCCGGGCTCCCCCCTCCCCGCGACATGGCTTATAGAGAGCTGGAGCCCTTACACCGAGGTTCGACCCGAACGTGGATGGGGACGGGGGGACTGTCACCCCCAAGCACAGGGGTCCCCGGCCTGGGTCCCCTCACGGGGAAGGGGGGGGACGCTCTCGCTCCGTCCCCACAGACGCTCATCCCGGCTCACTGAGCCCCCCCTGGAGTTTGAGGGATGGTGGAGGGGACCCTGCAAGGCAGGTGATCCCCAAAAATATACGGGGAGGGAGAGCGAGCGACCCAGTGACACTCCAGAAGGAGACGGGGCAGGGGGAGAAGGAGGAATAGTCAAAGGAGAAGGAGGCGGAGGGGGAAAAGATGGTGAACAAAGCCACAAGCATCCCTCCCATCTTCCTCCCGTCCCCACGAAGGAGCTTTGCACTCCCCGGGGAAGCAGCGGCACCCCCAATCCTGCAAAGCCGCAGGGAGGGACCCAGCCAGGCAGCACGAAAAAGGGACGGGGTGCCCGGAGGTGAAGGAGCAGCCCCAGTCACGGGTACCACAGCATCTCCATTATCCGTGTACCGGGAGATGCAGGTGGCGGGGGGTGCGTCCTCCTTCCCTCCATGCTCTGGCCTTGGCTGGGGGGGGGAAAAAAAAAAAAAAAGACATTGCGAGGAGGATAAAAAAGGCAAGAGAAACCTCACTGGGTTGCAAAGAGCTTCCCCCTGTCCTGGGACAAGCTGCAAGAGATGGAAAAAGAGAAAGATGTCACCACCGAGGATGGGGAAGGGGATGAAGGAGGCGATGAGAGCGGCTGAAACGCGCTGCGAGAGGGCAGGGAAGAGCTGAGAAAGCCCAGCTCGAGGGCTGGGGTAGCGACGGGGAGCCGAGGGCTTTGCGCAGGGGGCTGGGGCACAGAGGGCACGGGCTGGGGCACAGGGAAGGCTCAGCCCTGCGTCCGTCTCAAAACAAAAAGTGAATCACCCCCCAAAAAAAAGACCCCAGACACCCTTAAAACCACCCCGCGCTTCTCGGTGGGAGATGGGGCTGCTCGGACGCAGCGAGCACCCGGACTCGGTAGGTAGCTGCATCGCTGATGCTTCCCCCCGCTTTAAAACATCTCTTTAAGGATCAAAAAGGAAAAGAGGGAAAAACAAACAAATAAACAAACAAACAAAAACCGTTTTTAACTCAATTAAGGTGCAGTTTGGCTAAAAAAACCTAGGAGAGATGAGGATAATGCTGGGTAAGCGACCCCCGTCCAAATTCAGATTAGCACCCTGAAACAGTGAACTCCCCCGTATCCAGCCGGCCACCAAACCTGGGCCAGCGGCCACCAAACCTGGACCACCTCAGCGCAGGGACCTTGGGCGGGCTTGGGGCCAGTCACCTATTCGCGAGGTGGCCAGCAGGCGCCACTCTGCTCCCAAGCAGGGCTAGGAGCATTGATCTAGCAGCTAAAACTGGGCTCTTTAAGGCAATTTAGAAGTTGCAGATAATCCACACAAAGAAAGAAAAGTAAGATAAGGTAGAACAGCATCTCCATATCTGCAGGGATCCCGGCCGAGACTAACGTGGGCTGGAAAGGTGGAAAAAAAGACAAAAAAAACCCAAAAAAAAACCCATCGCTGCAGGAATGAACTGCCCTTGGCACATCAGGAAAGGGAAAGCCTCTCCGGGAGCCAGGGCTGGGAGCCACCAGCGGCTTCAGCCACATGAAAGCAAGAAGCGAATCCCAGGTTGTCTGCCAAGATCAGACAGAGATGTGATCACGTAAAAGGGTGAAACTGAGGGGGGGAAAAATAAAAAGTGACCTTAAAATCACACTGATAAATGTAAAAACAGGTTTCTCCGTTGGTTTTTTAAAAAAAGGAAAAGGTAAACCAAAATAAAATGATATTTAAAAATAATCTCTCTAATGTTGCCTTGTGTGGTCTGGTCCTTCATGGATATGGTCCGTCAGTATCTAGAAGAGAAGGGAGGGGACAGTGAGGCTGCGGGTGCTTGGGGACACAGCTCTGGGGAGCTGATGCTGTCCCAGTGCAAGGACATGCCCCCAACAGCACCCACTGGGTGGGGAGACAGCGGCTCCCTGCCCCAGCCAGCACTGACCTGTAGTAATTGGGTTTAAAAGGCCCATTTTTGTTGAGTCCCAGGTATTTCGCCTGATCATCCGTCAGTTCTGTCAGGTGGGCATCGAATGAAGGCAGATGCAAGCTGGCGACGTACTCATCTGGGAAGGGGGAGAGGAAAGAAGGGATCAGGGGGTGCAAGTCCCCCACTGCGCTGCCGGGGAGATGATGTACCGGCTCATCATACGGCACCAAAAGGGCCAGGGCACCACGCTGGGTCTGGCTAGGCATCCTTGCTATCTAGCACCACGGATTCACTGTCAGGTAAGCCTACGGCAGAGCTGAGCCCAAGCCCTGGTGCTGAGCAGGGCTGGATGTGCACCAAAAGGCACAGGGGTTGCACAAAAAGCCTCGGAGAAAGAAGTCTGCAGGATAAAGAACGCCTGCCACGCTGCAGAACATTAAGGAAAATAAATCTAACAGCTTGCAAGTGTTTTAAGGTTGCTGCCTCTGCTGGCTTCCCTGAACTCCTCCTCTCCCTGAAGATCTGTCCAGCCCACGTTTGAGTTTTTCCTTACATCCAAAACTGCGGGCCCACAGCATCCCGGGGGCTAAGTCAGCCCGGGCTCCCTTCACTCACCCATCTTCTTCGGCAGCAGGTACACGTCCTGTTTGTAACGGCCCTCGGGAGCGTTGTAGAGCTCAATCAGAGCCAGAGCCTGCAGAGATCAGAGGGGACAGCCCGGGGACAGTCAGGGACGGCCACCAAGCCGGGCGGCGCTGAACACCCACAACGGCACAAAGCTCTGAGCAGCAGAGATAAGGGTTTGGGAGCCTGAGGGAGGGGGCAAGCATTTCCAAAATGCCTTGAAGGAAAGGCTTCCACCTAAGGGTACGTCCCTCTCTGGGTCCCCATGATCCCACGAATGCTGGGGGGGGACCAGAGAGATGAGATGCCACCCAGCTTGTTTGCAGCATCTGGGCTTAATGCCCCAGGGAAAACCAGAACAGGAGGATGGAGAGAGGGGAGCAGCTCTAATTCTCTTAAGCCACCGTCATGCGGAAATGAAGGGATTGCTCAATTTAAACTGGCAGCATCACTCCAAAAACCAGGGCCACTCCTTCAGCAGAAATAAAACTGCATCTCCCTCAAGTGCCAGGTCACGCAGCTGAGAGCCAGGTCAAAACACGGCCCCGGTCCCCGTCGGTTTGGACGGACGGGTGTGAGGAAAAGGAAATTCCCCACCATTAGCGTGGGGAATTTCCTCCACTGCTCCTGCAGCCCAGCGCCGACTGTAGATCTCAGAGCAGAGCCAAATTTAATCCTAGTTTTCTTTGCAAAGGCAGAGTCACAACAAACAGTGCGACACACAAGCCACGTCCGCCCAGCTGAGCCGGCACTGATGCTGGGGAGCGTTTTAACCGCGGGCCTCCAGATGCCCAAAACTCATCCCAGGGTTTGTTTTTTTTTTTTTAGTGATGTAGAAATCAAGAGTCCAAAGACACAGCAAAGCCTTGCTTTGAGGTAAGCTTAAGCCTGTGCTAGGGGAGCTCTCCAGTGGCTTCCAGCACAGCAGGAGCTCTGCCACAAAGCCTGGCTCATTTAAAAGCTCTCTCCCAGCTGTAACCAAAGCAGTAAGTTCACACCATCATTAACCGCATCCCAGCCAAGATGTGGTGGCTACAGTATCTCTGGCACCAGTGCCATCCCAAGGACCCAGCCGACTGCGTGTTCCCAACCTCTTCCAAACCCTCCCCACCCCGAGGCTCGTGCAAGGCCCCAGAGCATCCCCCACCCCTCGCACCCCGGCCCTGCAGCGTACGGACCTGAGTGGTGGCTGTGATGGAGAGAACGAAGGTGGGAACTGTGGAGCAGCTCAGATTGAGAAGACGGCCCTAGGAGACAGCAGGAGGAGTTTGCAGAGAACTGAACTTGCCCCCAAAGCCAAATCGAATCAGGTCTCGAGAGAGGATTCACCTCTACCCCCTCCCTGGGGCAGGGGGCAGCCACAGCACAGTGGTTCAAGGGCCACCTGTGGGACCAGAGTGTTCAAACTCTGTCTCAGTTTCCACCCTAACCCTCAGCTTTAAGGGAGGGAGATTTTTGCGGTCCCTAGAAAGAGCCAGTCCCTCCTACTGCCAGGAGAGCTTAAGTGGGAAGAGGAGACACCCAGCCGGTTTGCTGCGTGGGAAACCCTGCCAGAGCCAGAAGCAGACGGCGTTTGGCTGATAGGAATGGCTCCCGGCTCGAAAGAGCCAGATGGCACCTCTGTGGCTGCATGTGGTACACGATACCTCCCCTGCCTCAAGAAAAGGAAAATAAAAAAAATACAATACATCAGGAAACCCTTTCCTGAGCTCTGAACCTCCTCCTAGGTACGAAGTGTCCCAGCACCTTTCCACCTGGTTAAATCTGTTACAAACTCTGGCACGCAGCGATTTCCCAACAGAGGCCCAAAGCAACGTCCCGGCACAGCTTTCGGCGCACCTCGGCCAGCAGCACCACCCGCTTCCCGTCCGGCCAGATGACATGGTCCACTTGGGAGCGGACCCGCTCCCAGGTCAGCTCCGGGGTCCGGAGGCTGGTCTGCAAGAGCAGGAGGAAGAGGCTGGAGTCAGCGTGGGAGGACGGCGGGGCGGACGTGGCTGTCGAGGCCGCAGGCAGACTCACCACATCGATCTCGGTGTTGGAGTGGCCCATGTTGCATACGATGCAGCTGTTCTTCATCCGATCCAGGTGTTCTCTGGTCACGACGTTCTTGTTTCCTGCAGAGAGGGCACAGATGAACCCAAGGCAGTGGAAATATAAACCCTCTGATTTCTCCTTCCCTGCACTTGGGTCAGAGAAGCTCAGCTTGGGGCAACATCAGATGAATTTCAACCAGAATGAGAGCCCTCCTGGCTATGACAAAAGAGAAACACATGGGATGAGTGCTGATCTTTGGT